CTGGATCTCTGTTCCTCTATTTTCCCCTTCTTTCACCTTGTAATTGTTTTGATCCTAGACTGACCTCCCAGGTTCTCTGAAATAGTTTACATGAGAAAACATTAACTTTACATTTATCCTAAAGCCCTGGGTTGGGTTTGAGAAAATCCCTTAGCTTTTGTTTATCCTGGAATGTTTTTTATTACACCATATTAGATTGCTAGCTTTGCTGAGTAGGTGATTCCCAGTGGCATTTTTTTCTTTCAGTGTTTTATATATGTCTCCCTATTGCCTTCTTGCCTGCATGGTTGAAGTTTAATCTTATTTGCTTGCCTTTGTCAGTAATACTTCTCTTTTCCCTAGCTGCTTTCAGCGTTCTCTCCTTGTCTTTGATTTTGGGGAGCTTGATTTTGATATACCTTCATGATTTTCTTTTGGAATCTACCCTTCCTTGGGTTCGTTTAGCTTCTTGAAAGCTTATCTTCTCGTCTTCCAGGATGTTAGGAAACTTTTCTTCCAGAAGCTCTTCACCTGTCTCCTCTGTGGTCTTCTGAGATCCCTCTTGTTCTGGAATTCCAGTAACTCTCAGATTATTCTTCTTCATGTTGTCCCACATGAATCTTAAGCTTTCTTCAGATTTTTAAAATTCTTTTTTCTACTTGCTCTTCTACCTTAGCAGTATTAAGAGATTTGTCTTCTAACTCGCTGGTTCTAGTTTCCATCTCTTCCATTCTATTCCTTTGTCCTTTCAGTGTGTTGTCCATTTCTGATATATTATTAATTGTTTGAACCTCTTTTTTTTTTTTTTTTAGGTTTTGGACTTTTCCAGTGCTATTTCTGTCTTATTTGATTGTTCTTGTTGCACTTTCCTGACTGCTTATTTATTTTTCTCAACCCCTCTGTGGAGCATTTGGAAGCACTTCAATATCATTCTCCTGTATTCCTTATTAGGGAATTCCAAAGCCTGTGCTCCTTCCTTTGGGAATTCAGATTTACCTCTAGCTCATTTGATTCAGCTACTCTAGCTTGTTTCTGGACTTGAGCTGAGATCTTCTGTTGTTTCTTGGGCATTTTCAATAATTAGAAATATTTTCAGTAATTAGATGAATGCATGTTAATATATTAAGCTTTCTGATTGTCTCCTGGTAGATGTGATCAGGAGATGGACTTCACTTTTCACTTCTATTATTACTCAACTCAGAGTAGTTTTTGCAAGTGTTGGTTGTCTACGCTTCTCTGGAATGTAGCAGCTGGTATTGGCTTTTGCACAGATGGTGGAATTTTTTAGGGTGTGATTGTAGCCTGGCTATATGGCTGCTCTTCTAGGGTAACATAGGAGAGAATGAGCCCACATCAAGGTAAAAGGGGGACAAAAAAAAAAAAAATGATTGGACACCAATGTCTGTAATTGCCACACAAAAAACAAAGATTGGACACTAAAGTCTATAATCACCACACACACAAACACACATAAAACAATGTAGCAAAGTAGTACAGTTGTTTCTCATGGTGAGAAATAGCCCACAGCTGGCCAGAGCTGTTTTAAGCTGTTCCTGCTCAAAATGGCTGTGCCAGGCATTGTCAGCAGCCTCCAGTCAGACAATGCCACTTTTCTTGCTTCTGCTACATATCCCACTAGACTTTCGATACTTATAAATATTATCTTATATGTGGCTCAGAGTTCCCGGATCGTCCACTGAACCTGATTTGTCTGGTATTTTATTTTATTGCTGGCGGAGGTCTACACGGTGCTTCCAAGAGTAATTTAATGCCACTTAAGGCGTTCTGCTCCCATAAAGATTTACAGCCTTGGAAACCCTGTGCAGGGTCACTATGAGTCGGAACTGACTCCACAGTACTTAACAACAACAAATGGACTTTTGAATTAACAGCTTGAGAAATTTCATGATGTTTCCCGTGTGCCTCTCTGATCTATCACCAGCTTTTTTCCTTTTCTTTCCCCATTTATTTCTTTCCATCAAGTCCATTCAGTTATTTATCATAGTATGAACTAGCCCAAGGCTGGCCAGAGCCCATTTGGTAGAGACTGCTCACACCAGCTCTTTGTGTTGTCTCCTCCCCCTTGGATTCTGTGCCCAGCCTCGGGGGGATCCATGCAGGTCCTTCCCTGGGGGTGTCTACTCGTATATAGGTCTCACTTCAAGTCATCAGACAGGAAATGAATAGGAAGAGAAAAAGAAAAAAATGACACCCTTGTAAGTTGCAGGCAGGTTTCTGTAGCATGATGCTCTCTTTTTCTCAGTCCACTCATTACTGTTTCTAAAGGTTGAGGCAGGTCAGATTACTGCCCCAAATGAGAAGTCACATCCTCTTATCTGAAGCTCAGAATTCCAGGACTGTCCTCTGAGTCGGTTTCACCCAGTTTTCCCTGTTTTTGCTGAAATTGATCTATACAGCCTTTTTGCCTAGTCTGCCATAGAGTCTTACCTCTTCAGTTAATCTTCTGTTAGTCTCAGTTTTTACTTCTTCCTCTGAAGTTTTCTCTCCTTATAAACACTTCCAACAGATTTTTGAAATCTCAGTAATTCTTGAAATCTTCCCAAACTGATTGGAAGTAGAGCCTTAGCTCTTAAATTGATTATGGAATTTGCACATTCTGTTGTGTGTGTGTCTAGTTCCTTTTTTATATTTGATATCATGTACTTCTCCTGATACTTACAAGTAACCTTCAGTTATTATTTCATGTAGGGTTCCTGCTCAGTTATCCATGTGATATTATATCTGCTGCATGTTTTGCCTTTCTGGAAATCTATCTTTGTGAAGAAATATATATAAATACATGTTTTATTTTTAAAACTAACCTTGTGCTTTTTTGAGTACAGTGTCACATCTACCATTTTTAATCTTTCAATGTTGCACATATTGTTACATCATTAGTATTATAGTTGTTATATTTGAAACTTAATTTTGGTTTGTCAGATATTTTGGAATTTAGAAATCTTTTCTTTTCCTTAAAAGAAACCCTGATGATTTAATTTGTAAAGTCTACAAAGTTAAATGTTTTTGAGAAAGAATTCGTAGCCAAATAGGTTTGATGAATGCTTCATATTACCATCTAGGCTTCTTTGACCCTGAACCATATTGACTCACAGGGGATAAAATGTTTTGAGGCTTTGATAGACTTCCTCCCATTTATTTTTTTTAAAGTAGAAGCTTTTTCCCATTTTTATTTTTTTATGGCAGGTTTATTGTCATTCTTAGAAACATGATTTTGGAAATGCTAGTTTAGGTGAATCTTCTCTTCAATTATAAATTTATCTTGTAAAACTATAAAATTAGAGTAAGACACAGAGTACTTTGTTTTGTTTAATATTATGTTGGAATTCTTTAATGAAAATCTATTAGGAGACATAAGTAATGATAATTATTTTCTTGTTCCATGATTGAAATTATCAGACTATTTAGATAGTATTTTCCTAAGCCAGCAATAGGAAATTAATATTACTGTTATATGTGGGTTAATGGGTTAATGCATTTGTCTGTAAGGTTGGTTTCAACCCCAGGGTCTGCAGTTCAAGCTCACCAGCTGCTCCTTGGAAACCCTATACAGGATTGGTATGAGTCAGAACAGACTTCATGGTACTTAAAAAAACAGCAACAACAACAGTGCCTCTTAAGACATTGAAGTCCTGGAGTGGTGCTGTTGGATAAGAACTCGACCACACGGTTGGTTTGAACCACAAGGTTGGCAGTTCAAATTCATCAGCTGCTCCTTGGAAACTATAATCAGGGTCTCGCTATATGAGTCGGAATTGACTCGACAGCACTTAACAACAATAACAAGACATTATTTTTATTAAAACATTTTCATGCTGGGTATGAAGGAAATTCTTGCCTTTGAAACTATTTCATCATTTTATTAAATGCTAAAAGCAAACTTGTTTTAGTATGTTAACTATATAGTTTCTGCTTTGATGGGCTAGACATATGCCTTGAGTAGAATTAAACTCTTTTAAGAGTTGTTAGAAATTTCTCTGAGAAGTTATTTATTAGAAAATTCAGGAAAGAACTATAGCACTAAAAGGTAGATAGAATTAAACAGGCATATATATGTATATGTGTATAAATATAATGTGCTGGACTGCACGATAGGTTTAAACCACAAGATCGGCTGTTCAAGCTTGCCAGCTGCTCCCCGGAAACCCTATACAGAGTCGCTGTGAGTTGGAACCAACTCAGTGGTACTTAAAAAAATATGAAAATAATTTTTTTGCTACAAATCTTTTGGGCTAAGCAGATTAACAAAAACTAGTTTTTGTCGTTTCTAAGTTTTTAACAGAGTCCCCTGGATGGTGTAAATGCCTCACATGGTCCTTTGCTAACCATAAAGTAGGAACCTTGTTCATTGAGAGGTGCCTTGAAAGAAAGGCCTGATGATCAACTCTGAAAAATTCAGCCATTAAAAACCCTGTGAAGCACAGTTCTGTTCTGACACACATGTTGGATTTCACTTGATAGCAGCCAGCTACTGGTTAACATTTATAGTACAAATCTTGACATTTTTTTCTCCTTCAGAGATATATTTTAAGATACTTTGAAAGCAAGACAGTTTGACCTTGGCTTTTGCATATGCTATAATTTTATTGTTCTATAAGGTCCAACTATTTAGGAAGGTCTTGCCATATACTACAGTGACATTAGGTACATAACCACTTAAGGTCAGCAGTTCGAAACTACCATCTGTTCCATGGGAGAAAGATGAGGCTTTCTGCTCCCGTAAAGATTTACAGCCTTGGAAACCCTGTACAGGGTCACTATAGGTTGGAACTGACTCCACGGCACATAACTACCACCACCAATCAAGTTACTGCCTTTCTCCTTCATTGGTCAGGGTTTGTGCCTAGAGAAGTATTCATAGTTACTCAGCAGGTTCTAGATTGAATCACAGCTTTTTAAGGTTAATGTAAAAACAGTTATGCATGTTGTTCTTAGTAATTGTTTGGCTTGTTTTTGAGAGTAGTTTTCCGTTTTCTAATGTCTTAATGAAACAAAATTTCTAGTGTCTCTTCAGAGAAGGGAAGATCTCAGAAAACTCCGACATCTCCTCTATCTCCAAGTTCTCAGAAATTGTTACAGTTTGACCTTCCGGGAACTTCATTGGAAAAGACTAAGTCCTCGGTAGTAATACCTCCAACTACAACAGCATTTAAACCTCCTGCAGCCTTCACGGATGTTAATCTGACTGCCAGCAGAACAACTGCAGAGATGGCTTCAGCACTGGGCAAGTAGCTCCACGCAGTTTCAAATTTTAAAAGAAGATAGCAATATTTTTCTTCCCCAAAATTCCGTTTCTTAAAGTCGAGCCATGGGAAAATGTTATTTCTTATGGATGTAATTACTTTGTGAAGTATTAAAACAAAAACTATGCAGGAAATTAAGTCTTGGAAAAATAAAGAGATTTGAGTGGCGATTCCTCCCCTCCCCCTTATTTCCAGCATTAAATATTAGTTGAAGCACACCTGAAAAATACATTCTATTTGTGTAATCCTAAATGTTTATGGGTATATGCACTTATATGTATAAAAACATGTATAAAACTGACTTGATGGTGCTTAGCGACATCATTAATATAAAAGAAGCAGCTTGCTTTCCTCCATCGAAAAGCATATTTGGTTCTTGGCTGTTAAAGTGAGAAACAAATTTTAGAAATCTGTGATAGAATTTTTTCATTTGACAATTATTATATGCTCTCCAGGTTCTAAGCGCTTTTCCCCTGTTGGCCTCCAGCATCGTTTGGCAGCAGAACTCAGTTATTTGAATGCTATTGAGGAGTCCATGCGCCAACTGTCAGATGTAGAAAGAGTTCGAGGCATTTCGCTTGCTCAGCAGGAGAGTGTGTCTCTGGCTCAAATCATAAAGGTATTTGTGGAGTTTTCTTTCTTTTTAGCTTTTTGTGGGTTTTCTCTTTTCTATTTGAGCAAGCCATTGTATGACTTTATGTCCAGCCTTACCACCACTAGTGAATACAAAGTACTTACCACTAGTCCAGAAGAGACAAAAATATTTAAATCTGAGTCAAAAAGTATCATTTCTAGGGTTCCTATTTTTATACATACGAAAGAAATGTGTTTTAAAATGCTTCTGTGATCAGTAGATTATTGCAGATAAGTTTTTTCATGAATACACTTGCCTTAGTCTTGTTATAGTACCTTCAAAAAATAAAAGGCCTGATAAAAACTGGCATCCAAAGGAATCTCATGGGCCAGTTAAATTCAAAACAGAGGTCAGCTCAGAAGATATGCTTGACTGTTTTTTGGGTTGTGATGGGATAATCTTGATAGATTGTCTTCAAGGATACAGGACGATCATGGGGGCTTATTAGGAAGAATTTTTATAACTGAAAACTACATAGGTGAGAAAAAAAACAGGAAAGTTGCTCTTAAGTCTTGTTTGACTTATTCTTAAGTTTTCCTTTTTTATAATGTCTTACTGAGACAAAACTTAGTGTTTTATCAGAGAAGGGAAGATTTCAGAAAACTCTGACATTTCCTCTCCAAGTTTTCATAGGAATGTTTTTCCATCACAGTAACGCACCTGCTCTTTCTTTGAGGTTAGCAAGCCCTGTCCTACAAGAATTTCATTGGGAAACAATGCCTCATATAGCTTACAGCCTGATATTACTGCTTCACATTTCTTTTTGTTACCAAAACAAGATTTTAAAGGTACATAATTTGAGTCCCTTGATGATGCCAAATTGTCATTTTGATGTTACATGAAGGTGAAATCACTACCTTCAGAATATTTTAGACCTAGATGGTGGATATGTGGAGAAACAATAGTTTCAAATTTTGAGGTTTTGTTTAATAAAGGTATTGTGAGTTGTGAAGTATAATCTTCATTTTTATATACGACATCTTCCATAGAGGACCTCTAACTTTTTGCTTTCAAACCAATTTTGGGTACAGTTCTTAGTCTTGTATGCCTTGAAAGTTTTTTCTGTTAATACACTCTTTAAGACAAAGGAGGTTATTAAATACTTTTTATAAATGATAATGCCCCAATCTGTTACATCAGATGATTTATATTAGGAAAATAACACTGGTTTATTTTAGTTACTGTGATAAAATTCTTACAGTTAATATTTGTCATTGCTTTATTTTGAAGGCACAGCAGCAACGACATGAAAGAGACTTGGCCCTTTTGAAACTGAAGGCTGAGCAAGAAGCTTTGGAGAGCCAGAGACAATTAGAAGAAACCCGAAACAAAGCAGCCCAGGTAACGTATTTTGCATTAAGTAAACTTAAATTTCTGTCTCTAAATTACTTTTGTGTTCTTTAATTTTATAAGAATGAATCAGAATAAATGTAAGTAACAATATTTTAGTGCTTTATACTGTATGGGATAACTTTATGTCATTGATTTCTTGTATCTTGAAATTTGTAGGCAAAGATAATTATTCCCAATTTAGGGGAGTGGAAACTGAGGTACACAGTTGTTATTTATCCATGGTCACATCAACTAGTTAACAGTAGAGTTAAGACTCACACTATGAAATCCAGATAGTAGTCAAGTGTTTGACATTTGGTCTGTGAAACAAGTTTATAAATTAACAGGAGAGTTGGGGCAGGGGAGCTGAAACTTAAGTCTTCTTTTCACCCCCTTTTACTTATAGGTTCATGCAGAGTCATTAAAGCAGGTTGTTAAATCACAACGCGAAGTAACTGAAGTCCTGCAGGAGGCAACATGTAAAATAGCAGCTCAGCAAACAGAGACTTCTCGCCTCACCACAGATGCTGCACGCCAAATCTGTGAGGTAAGTTCCTTTTTGCTTTTGTAATTTTCAGTCAGTCACCGACTTTGGCCTTAGGATTCTAATATCTAGCAAAAAGTATATTTTCAATGATATATGTACAGTATGGTGCCATACTCTATTGAAATGAAAGATTGTAATTGATGGGAATGTGTTGTACATGTAAATGACGTAGAGGCTGGAAAAACACTCTAAATTTCTGCCATCTAGTGAGCTTTCTTAAAAAAACGCTGTTTATATTGACGTATAATTTGTTGTTGATAAGTGCCATCGAGTTGATTCCAACTGATAGTGACTTTTTATAGGGTTTCTGAAGAATGACTGGTGAGTTTGAACTGCTGACCTTTTGGTTAGCAGTCCAGTCCGTATCTTAAAGAGCCACAAAAAGACTTCTTCCATAATTTACAAACAATAAAATGCATCTATTTTAAGTTTGATGAGCTTTGACAAATATGTACATACATATATGAAGGGTCTTCAGAAAGTTTGAGGAAAATGGAATTAAAAGATAAGGAATTTTTCTAAAAAATTTTTAATTCCCCTCATATGTGTAAAACAAAATCTTAGTAAAACAATAGAACATTTTCATCATCCCACAAAGTTCCTTCATGTCTATTTGAAGTCAATTCCCAACTTTGGTCCCAGAGAGCAACTGATCTGCTTTGTATAAAGATGTTTTCTTTTTACCCAGAATGATGTTAGTTAGTGTCTTTTCTTTTATTATGCAAGGATAAAGCCAGAAGTAGTTTAACTGCTGTCTCTCTATAGGATATCATAATCTATAATTATGGTTTCAGTTTATTTTAGCAGTTATATCCTTGTATTTGTTTTGTTTAACGTATTATTGCGAATTAAGTGAAGGTTTGCAGAGCAGATCATCAATTTTACATTAAGCAAATCATATGCTTTGCTTGGTTACAATGATTGAAATTCCCTCCATGTAACAATATTTACCATTATTCATGTTAACTACTGCATTTCTCGCTTGTCTCCTGCTACCTTCATCTTTCCTCTGCCACCCTCCCTCTTGTATATTCCCTTCCCGGTCACCCATGTTAACATGCATCTGTCCTCTAACCTGTGAATAATATTCCCCTCCCCCTACCCCCTAAAACCATCATAGAATGCTTCTTTTAGCATAAAAACCATTTCTTTTTACAACATTGGTCTCTAACAATATTTGTCCTTTTGTGATTGACTAATTTCACTCAACATAATATCCTCTAGGCTTACCCATGTTGTGAGGTATTTTGCAGATCCATTATTATTATTCAGCATTTGCATAGTATTCCATTGTATACATGTACAAACATTTGTTTAACAATTCTTCTCTTGATGGGCCTTTAGGCTGTCTCTGTATTTTTGGTGTGTATCTTGTAGACAGCATATTAAAGGATTTGGTTTTCTTATCCATTCTGCTCTCTTTGAATCTTGACTGGTGCATTTAATCCATTTACACTCAGTGTAACTTTCGATAGGTATGAATTGATTGCTGTCATTTTTCCATATGGTTTATTGTGATGCTGTTGGTTTCTTTGCCACATAATTTTCTGCACTGAGTTCATATTATTTATGGATTTTCTTTTCACTTTCTTCATATCTGTTGTGGTGGTGTTGTTAGGTATCATAGAGTCAGTAACAACTCATAGAGACCCAGTGCACAAGGGAACAAAATACTGCCCGATCCTGCACCAACCTCACAGTCGTTGCCACACTTGACCCCATTGCTGATGCCACTGTGCAAATTCATCTTGTTGTTGGTCTTCCTCTTTTTCTCTGACCCTTCATTTACCAAACATGATCATCATCTTTCTCCAGCAACTGAGCCCTTCTGATATTATATTGGAAATATGAGACACAAAGTTTGGCCATTCTGGCTTCTAAGGAGCATTCTGGCTGTACTACTTCCAACACAGATTGGTTTCTTCCTTTGGTACTTAATGATACTTTTAATATTCTCCCACAATACCATAACTCAAATGCATCAATTCTTCTATGGTCTTTATTCATTATACAATTTTCATATGCATATGAGGCTATTGAAAATACCATGGCTTTGGTCAGGTGCACCTTAGTCCTCAAACTGACATCGTTGCTCTTCAACACTCTAAAGAGGTCTTGTGCAGCAGATTTGCCTAATGCTTTCTTTTTGTATGTTGTTCTTGATGTCATTCCACAACTCTTCTGGTCTTTGGTCTTTCTTTAATTCTTTAATGTCTAATGCATCAAATCTTTTCTTCAAATGTTTTCTAAATTCAGGTGGAATATGTTCAAGTTTACATTTGGACTCTTATGGATTTTTTTTTTTTTATTATTAAATGTTTTTATTTTGGATTGAGTGAAAGTTTACAGGGCACATCATCAGCTTCACATTCAACCATTCATATAGCTTGTTTCATTACATTGATTATTATCCCCTCCATATATCATCAGTTAACAGTGTTTCTCTCTATCCTCTTTAGCTTTTTTTTTTTTGGGGGGGGGGCGGGGAGGGACTTGCCTTTTTGGAATTTACAGTCTCGGCTTTTAGGGAAGGGTTTTACATTTGTCTGTGGATATCCAGGGCTCATGTATGAGATTACTAACAAGCATTACTGAATAATCATATGAGGGACAGTTTGCTATGTCTGCTAGGTGGCTAAAGTCTGATCCTCAGAGCCTATGGTTTGGACGGTCAACAACGCTTGGGCCCACAGGGTCTTGACCTCCTGACTGGGTCTGCATCAGATTCCCCCTTATTTATTGTTTGTTTAAGGGACGCTGCCTGTCTTAGACGGTCAGTGCGAATTCCTCATTCTTACCCGTCATCGAAACTCATTGCAGCATGGCAATGGCTCTGTCTTAGGTTGCCGAGGTTCCACGTGATCCTTACCCGTCTCTGGCCACATGTCCAGCATAAACAGCCACCATCCGAGGAAGGCAGGGAGGGAGGAGACCAGCTGGGAACCCCATACACAAGACGTTGCCAGCCCTGGATTTGTTTTAATGTTCTTTATTTTCAGCCTGAACTTGCATATGAGCAATTGATGATCTGTTTCACAGTCTGCCCCTAGCCCTGCTTTGGCTAATGATATGGAGCTTTTCTACTTTGTCTTTTTACAGATGTAGTCAGTTTGTTTTCTGTGTATTCCTTCTGGTGAAGTCCATGTGTATAGTTGTCTTTTATGTTGTTTTAAAAAGGTATTTGCAGTGAAGTCATTGGTCTTGCAGAATTCTATCATGTGATCCTTAGGCCATATTTTCCAATGACTTATCCATCCTCTTTGTTTCCAACGTTTGCATTCCAATCTCCAGTAATTATCAGTACATCTTGATTGCATGTTTGATAAGTTTCAGACTAAAGAAATTAGTTGTGTTCTTCAATTTTTCTTTGCTGGCGTTAGTGGTTGGTGCGTAAATTTGAATAACAGCAGTATTAACTATCCTTACTTGTAGGCATATGGATATTATCCTATCACAGACAGTGTGGTACTTCAAGATAGATCTTGAAATGTTCTTTATGATGATGTATGCGATGCTATTCCTCTTCAGTGTAGCATTCCTGGTGTAGTAAACCATGAGATTGTCAGATTCAAAATGCTAGTACCTGTCCATTTCAGCTCACCAATGCCTAGGATATCAATGTTTATGCATTCCATTTCATTTCTGACGATTTCCAATTTTTCTAGAGTCATGCTTCGTACATTCCATGTTACAATTGTTAATGGATGTTTACAGCTATTTTTCCTGGTTTTGAATATAGTGCCTCATCAGCAAATGAAGATACAGAGGCCTTACTCTGTTCATGTCACCATGGTGAACTCTACTTTGAGGAGGCAGCTCTTCCTAGTCGCATTTTGAGTGCCTTCCAACCTGAAGGGTTCATCTTCTAGGACTATATCTTGAAAGTATTCTGGTGCTGTTTGTCATATTTCAATTTTCAATATTTTGGTGACTAAGTCCGTCTCATCTTCTTCTTTCCCTTTTATTTTTTTTAAAGTTTTTATTGTGGATTGAGTGAAAGTTGACAGAGCAGATCATCAGTTTTGCATTCAACAAACCTTGTTTCATTACAATGATTATAATCCTCCACATACCATCAATTAACACTATTGCTCTCTATTTACTTTAGCTCTTTTTTTTTTTAAACACTCAGGCACATACAATAAATTTACACCACCAAACGGCACATTCTGCAAGTCTGACTCCAGGCCACCAGCTCTTAATCCCTCTCTTCCCATGAATCTAGAGTCCTCAGCTGCTCCCTCTTTGTATGTCCCCATCTCTGCCTCCATCTCTGGTTTCGCTGCTTCTCTGGATAAGGTCTCGCATTCCGTTTGTGCTCTTTTCCCTTGATGGTCCTAGGGTCCTTTGTTTCTGGACTAACTACTCCTCCATTTTGTTACAAAACTTCTACTTTTACAATTGTGACAGTCACAATTAGTCATGATAACAATTACTCACTCTTGAATCATAAGAATCTTATCCCCATCTCTTTTCACCAGATCCATCTAGACAAGATGAAAGTTCTTCATTGGGGACTCTTTTTCTCACACACACTCTTAAACTAAACTCCCCCTTGAAACCTTGCAAACCAGTCACTTCGAGCCTTTATCGCCCATTCATTTTAGGTACCCAATGTTTTAAGTTGCCCATCCCTATCTGCCGAGTGTACAGAGGGGGTAGCATTGATACTTGATGTGAAGACTCCTTCCCTTTCTTTTGGTATTTAGAGTTACAAATTGTAGCAATTTACCCATGTTTCCTTTACAAAAATTGTTTTTTTTTTTTCTTTTTAAAAAAATCTTCCTCTACTCTAGTTCTTAAGGAGCTCTGGTAGCATAGTGGTTACGAATTGGGCTATGAACCGCAAGGTCAGCAGTTCGAAACTACCAGCTGCTCTGCGGGAGAAAGATGAGGCGTTCTGCTCCTGTAAAGATTAACAGCCTCGGAAACCCTGTGCAGGGTCGCTATGAGTCAGAACCGACTCTACGGCACATAACAACAAAAACAACTCTAGTTCTTATTATTAAGCTTTCGAGGCTAGGTCAAATGGGTACTTATCTGCAAGTTTGGGTGTTCTTGTGCGCCTCCTCTTACTCCATAGCAGCTAGATGCTTCACTCTCAGCTCTAGCCCTCCATGGCTATGTCATTTTCTATGGGTTCAGGTGTCCCCAGGTGTCACCACACTTTGGACCAATCAGCCCTTCCTCTTCTTTCTCACATCTCCAGGTCAATGGTTGTCTGTGGAACGTGGTTTGAGCTCAGCCCATTTCTTCATTGCTGCCTTTCCCACTCTTCCACTCACCAGTAGACTAATGTGGTCATCAGCAAGCTTACATGCCTGCTTATGTGTTCCCTTTGAGTTTCAGTCTTAGAGGGGTTTTTTCCTGAAGGAACTTGATTGCTTGCCTTGATGGCTTCCCAGCGAACAACTTAACTTATTCTTGTAGCCAGTCATACTGCCGTTTTTCTTTTGGGTTTTTAGTCTGTCTTCTTTTGGAAGCTCCACTGAAACCTGTCCCCCATGGGAGACTCTGATGATATTTAAAACACCAGTAGTATAACTTCCAGAATCACAGCAAGACGCAAGCCACCACAGTACAACAAAGTGACAAATGACTATTAATGTTTACTAAATCTTTCTGGTTTTCCTTTTTTTAAATTTTGATGTGCAGGTATATTTTCTTTCTTTTTTTAATGTTTTCTTGTGAATTGTGTGATAGTCTACATGGGAGAACATCAGCTTTACATTCATTCCATCATCCATCATTTGCAGGTATATTTTCTTTGAGATTACCCTGTAATTCATTAATTTTTTTTCTCTATTTAAAACAATGTTTTATCTTGAAATCTGCTTGACTTCCATGCCATTTGAAAGTTCTGTATCTACACTATTCCCATTACTGCTTTGTAGTTGATTTCATTATAAACCAAGATCTCTGGTTTTCTCTATTTTCAATCTTGTAGGTTTGTTTCACTTTAAACACGTCTATTTTCTGTGTTAGGGACAGCTCTGGTAGCGTAGTGGTTACCAATCGGGCTGCGAACCTTAAGGTCAGCGGTTCGAAACTACCAGCTGCCCCGCGGGAGAAAGATGAGGCTTTCTACTCCCGTAAAGATTTACACCCTCGGAAACCCTGTACCGGGTCGCTATGGGTCGGAACCGACTCGATGGCACACAACAACAACAACAACATTTTCTGTGTTGGGACTCCTGGTGTGGTGCTGTAGGGTAAGCACTTGACCACAAGGTCGGTTTGAACTCCAAGGCAATTCAAACTCAGCAGCTGCTCCCCGGGAGCCCTATACAGGATCCCTGAGTCAGAATCGACTCAACAGCCCTTAGCAACAACAACATATCTGGATTGAGTTATGGGTGATGTTATCATGTATGATCATCTCAGATTGTTGTCTGCTTTTGTTCTCATTCCAAAGAACACCCTTTATTATTTTTTGTAAAGTTCGTGTGGTCCTTACAAATTCCTTTGATTTTTGTTTATCAAGTAATACCATAATATCACTGTCATATGAGAGAGCTTTGCTGGTTATATGATTCTTGATTGGCAATTTTTGTCTTTCAGAGTTTTGTATATGTCATTCTATTGCTTTCTTGCCTGCGTGGATTTGCTAGAAATCAGAACTTAGTCTTATCAGTTCTCCTTTTAGGTGACTTTTTGTTTTTCCTGAGCTGCTCTCAGGATTCTTAACTTGTAGTTGGTTTTGGAAAGGTTAATTGTGATTTATCTTAGTTATTTTCTTTTGGAATCTGCCCTTAGGGTTCATTCAGCTTCTTGTATGTTTGTCTTCTCACCTTTCATGCTAGGTAAGTTTTTGTCCAACTAATATTGGACAGTTTTTCTTTGTACTTTTTATTGTCTCTTTCTGTTTTGGAATTCCAGTCACTTGTAAGATGTTCCTCTTCATGGTGTCCCATATAACTCTTAGGCTTTCTTTGGATTTTTTCATTCTTTTTTTTTGGTTGCTGTATCTTAAAGCTCACAAATTTGGGCTTCCATTGCTTAGCATACTCCTTTGCTCTTTGTAAGTATTACCCATTTCTGAAATCTTAGTATTAATCTTCTGGATATCTAATTGCAGGTTTTGTATTGTTTCCAGTTTTGCATATATTTTGTGTTTTTTTCTTGTTTGATTTTCACTAATTCTCCTGAAGTTTTTCTGTGCTCTCCATGCTTTCCTCAATTTTTCTCTTCATCCTTATAAAGTACCAAACAACAAAATAGCAATGGAGCTGTTGGATTCAGAGAGGAGAAAACTCTGGGGGCGCTTTCCAGTCAAGGAGTTCACAAGATGGGTGTGGTGGGGGTGTGACAGCAGTCCCTGGCCATAGATGAAGGACCCATTGGTCTTATCTATGTTAAGGGCACTCAATATGTATACAGTTCGTGGAGGCCCTTTATGGAACTAGTTTTAGTATCAAAATTTTTAGGACTACAGGGCAAATGGGAGCAGGATGACTGGTTATTAAAAACCCACATCAGTTATTAAAAACCCACATCACACTGGCGTGATTCCCAACTACATGACTCCCAGAGAGCAGGATCTGTGCAGGGATGATGAGGGTGGGAGCTGGCCACCCCTCTGGTCACCAGGGGACCCTGGGGGGAAAAGATGGAATCATACATTACTGTGTGAATCTGCTCTGCCAGCCCACCTTCTGTTGCCAAAGCTGCTCACTTCATGGTCGAACTGCATCTGAAAGCCATTCAGTAGTTATTCTCCCTCTCTCCCAATCCCTGCTCAGCTTCTCCTCTCAGCAAGTGCTCAGCCCACTTCTCTAGCCTTTCCTCTGAAGTTCAGGGTTCCAGGATTTTCATCTATGTCTGTTTAATTTGGTCTCTGTTTTTTTTTTTAAACAAAAGTTAGGAAGGACTATTGTTGACATTTAATTATTAAAAACTTGTGAAGCTACTATATCTTGGAAATTATGTGGATGTGCAAATAAGTATAGAGTTGTTTTCCTCAAGAAAACATCAGTTTAATAGGCAATGTTGAAATAGGTCCCCTGTCAGTTTGTCGTACTGTGATGACTTGCATGTTTCTGGGATGCTGGAATCTATGCCACTGGTATTTTAACTATTAGTAGGGTACACCTGTGATTGACAGATTTCAGCTGAGTTTCCAGACTAGGCTGGAGTAATAAGAAAGAAAGACAGACTACTTCTGAATATTTAGCCACTGAAAACCTTATGATTAGCAGTGGATCCACTGTCAGCATCAGAATATTTAAAAATGATGAATAGCTCCAGAATATTGTCAGATATAGTTCTAGAAGAGGAGCCCCTCAGGCTGGAAGGCACTCCTTGGGAGTCATGATGATCAGACTTCATCTCACATACTTTGGGAAATATCATGAGGGACCGGACCCTGGAGAAGGACATTATGCTAGGTAAAGTGGAGGGTCAGCAAAGAAAAGGGAGCTGGATTGGCACAGTGACAGCAGTAATGGGCTCTAGCTTCATGATTGTGAGGATCACGAAGTACCAGGCAGTGTTTAGTCCTGTTGTGCATAAGGTCAGTGTGAGTCGAAACTGACTCAATGCCACCTAACAACAGCAACAACTGACATAGATTTCTTTTAAATAGTCATTATCAGGAGTATCTTAAGACAATGATTGAATAAATACCAAATGGTCTTCATATGGGTTGTGAGAAAAGACTTGTAGACAAAGTTAATAATTGAATTTACTTGAAGAAAGATTTAATTTTATGAAAAAGATGAGGCTTTCTGCTCCTGTAAAGATTTACAGTCTCAGAATCCCTATGCAGGGTGTCAATGAATTGGAACTGATTCCACAGCACCCTACCACCACCACCATGACTTGCTAAGGGAAGCACCGTGGCTCTGTAGGATAAGCACTGAACTGCAAACCACAAGGTCAGCAGTTAGTGCCCACCAGCCACTCTTTGGGTGAAAGATGTGGCTTTCTCATCCTGGAAAGATATACAGCCTTGGAAAACCTTGTTTAGGGTTGCTGTGAATCAGGACTTACTCGATGGTTCTTAACAAAAACAACAATGACTTAATAATAAGGAACCTGGTGATATAGTCGATTCAGTGTTGGCCTACTGATTGCAAGGTCAGTAGTTCAAGCCTATTAACTGCCCACAGAAGAAAGATAAGGCTGTGCTCCCATGAAGATTTACAGCCTCAGAAAGCCTGTGCAACAGTTCTACTCTGTCCTATAGGGTCACTATGAGTTAGAATTGACTTGATAGCAGTCAAGTTTTGGTTTTTTGTTTATAGCTTACTGTGGCTTATATATAGAATAAATACAGGACTGCTAAATGCAAGGTCGGTGGTTCAAACCCACCAACTGCTCCTTGGAAACCCTACATATAGGGTCACTATGAGTCAGAAGCACTCCAAGGCCCTGAACAACAACAGCAACAACATAGCTTATATGATTTTAAAGTTTTCTGTATAATCTAAGTCATATTATTATAGCTAAGTGGAACCTTAAGAAATTATGTAGTCCAACTTTTCATTTTTATAAGATGAAGCTGTTGGGGAGAAAAAGAAGCTATATGGTTTGCCCACAATCTTTTATCTATTAATGGCAGAACTTGCTTGACTTCAATTAATCAGTCTTTTCTAAGATACCGTGCACACTTTCAGTATTTCCTTGACATTATCTTTTTATATCTACTCTTTCCGTTGTTGTGTGTGTTTATATTTAGATGGCAGAGTTGACTCGAACTCACATATCAGATGCCGTCACTGCTTCAGGAGTTCCCCTAGCAACACTGTATGACAACCAGCGGCAACCCCCTCCGGACTTCATGAAAACCCTGAGGACTAGAGCTGAAAGAGATAGGTTAATATCCATTCAGTCCAAAAACACATAATGAGTATCTACTATGATCCTAGGTATTGGCCTAGATATTGGGAATAAGTGGTAAAGTGACAGTTTGTTGGGATGATAAATTATTATCAAATCTTAAGTGAGCAAATACTTACAAACTGAGATGAGAAAATAACATTTGTCTAAGGCATATAAAGGAGTCCTGGTGTGGCGCTGTGGTGTGCGCCAGACTGCAAAGCCATTTGAACTGCAAGGTTGGCAATTCAAGCTAACAAGTTGCTCCTCGGAAATCCTATACAGGGTCGCTATGGGTCGGAACTGACTCGACAGCACTTAACAACAGCAACAAGGCAATATATAAATGTAAGTGTTTGATTAGCCAGAAGATGTAGGAAGATGAAGCTTATCAGAAACCCTATATAGGGTTGCTGTGAGTTGGAATTGACTCAATGGCACTCAACAACAACAATGAATGAGAAGGAGTTAGTCATATAAAGGAGGTAAGGAATTGACAGATCATTATAGGCAAGGGCCCTGGAGTACAAAGGAGCATGGCATATTTAAGAAAACAAGAACAAGGTAACTGGAGACAAAGAATAAATTGTAGAATGGTCCGAGGTGATACAGGGAATGGGAGGGTATTGCCGACTTTTAAGAATTTTGGGGTTTATTCTAAGAGCAATGAGAAGTCATTAAAAAGTGTTTAGACAGGCTAGATGATGACATGATTATATTTGTGTGTATTATTTTTAGTATCACATTTTAGATGTTTTGTATAGACTGGATTGGCAGAGAGCTGGGCTGAATGCCAAGAGACTGATAGACAACCGATTGCAGTAGTCTAAGCAAGAGATAATGATAGCTTGAAATAGGAAAGAAGCAATGTTTGTAGAGAAGATGAATATTGTGAGAACTGTTTAGATAGTAAAATCAGATCTTAGGGGTAGATGAGTATTTTGGATGAAGGGGGAGGTAAAAAGGATGATTGATAGACGTTTGTCTGTGATGAAGATGGCACGCATTTATTGGAACAGGAAATCAGAAGACCGGGGCTTAGGGGAAATTATTTTAGTCTGGATCTCAAAGGAGAGGTCTAAACTGATTCATGAATTTGGGAATTGGTAGTACATGAGTAATCATGTGTCAGAATTAACTTAATTACAACTAACAATAACAACTGGTGTGGCGCTGTGGGCTAATTCATCAGACTGCAAAGTCGTTTGAACTGCAAGGTCAGAGATTCAAGCTCACCAGCTGCTCTTTGGAATCCCTACACAGGGTCGCTATGGGTCGGGATCGACTGGACAGCACTTAACAACAACAATAACAACTAGTGTTTGGATGGAAATTAAAATGCTGGGCCTACAAGAGTGAGAGAAAAGAACTTGTGTCATAAACCTCTCCAAAAAAAACTAGCCTTTAGACTGATTGTGAGGGTTGGAAATGTAAAGGTAGACAATTTGTAGCAAAAGAGGAGAGTGATTGACTTTGCAGTCTAGGAGCAGAGGTCCCTGGGACCATTAAGGAAGAAGAGTGGAGAGTGGGACCCTACCCAGAGAAGCACTGATGCCAAAGATAGAGGCAGAGACGATGATGTAGAGAAACAGAGCAGGTGGGGACTTTAGATCCAGAGAGGAAGAGGAGCGGTGTGCGGACAACCAGGGGGCAGGCTTGCAGGGTATACCCTTTGGTTGGTTGATAATGCATGGAGGGGAGTATAACCATGGCAATGAAACTATATACAATAGGATGAATGTAAAACTAATGTTCTCCCATGTAAACTATCGCATAATTCACAATAAAACATTAAAAAAAGAAAGAAAGAAAAAAACACAACTAGCCTTTAATTAAATTGTTAATAACGTACAAATGGGACTAAAGTAAAAGTAGAGTTAATCACATAGGACATCTAATGCATTTTAGAAATTCTGATTAGATTAGATTAGATGAGATTAGATTTTTAATACTGTGATATACATTTATAAATGGTTTACTTAATTCTTAGCAGATGTTCTAAATTAGAAATTCCTTATAAAAGAACGTATTTAATTTAAAATGTATTTCAAAAATATAAAACAGAAAAACTTAAATGATTCACAGGTAAACCAAAAACCAAACATTCCTTTGATTCTTTTCTTGACTCTTTTTACTCAGAATTTCTGTAACAGGTGGTTTGAAGCAGTGGTAGAGAAGTTTGTTTTGAAAGTACCAAACCTAAGCAAACAAAAGGAATTAGAAGGAACTCTTATATTTAATTCAAACTATTGCATTGATAATACAGCAATTCTTGTTGAATCATTGTGCTGTTCTTCCTCTGACTCTTCTTTTGTAAGAACTGTAGTTTATTAACATTAGTAAATTTGAAAATTTATGATTCTTTCATCTAAATCCAACAGTTTAATTTCTAGGTCTCTATTAACATGCATTGATAACATGTGGTGATTCTCTATTTCTCTTAGTAAAGCAGAAGATACTTTAAAATGTGTTGAATCCTCTTCTGTGATTGAATGACTTTCTCAAAGGCTTTATAAGAGTTACTTTATAATTTCTATTTGTTCTAGAGTTTATCTCATGTTACTACTTGCATAGTACTTTAAATCTTTCTCTTATTAGAGACTGAGTGTTTAATCAGCTTTTATTTTCTCTGCAGGAAAAGTGAATCTGTTTCACTCTCTCAGAGTAAAGAAGGGACCCTTTACTCAAAGCATCAGAAGTATTCTCCTTCCTATGATAGTTATTCTGAGTGTTCAAGATACAAGAATCACAGTCGAAGGTGAAGAGCGTAGTTTGATTCCTTTTTCAGTACTGTTTTTGCATAGTCTGGTAAATGTCTTAGAGAATGCTTTTCTTTACTTTTAATCTTTTTCCTTTGAAGTAAATGGATAATGTGTAGCCTTTGTAGTACTGGATTTCCCCATTTAATTTGCTGATTTACAAAATAATTGGTTCATGTTGTAATCTACCTATCATTTCTTGAGACCTTAATTGGTTCACACACTTCATAAACTGATATTTTCATTTATTTAATCTTCATAGCATTCTTTCAAAGTATGTAGCATTAACTTTATTCTATAGGTGAATTTGCTTAGGCTCACAGAAATGTTAAGAAACCCACCCAAGGTTACATAGATAGTGATGCACCAAGGAACTGACCTTTGGTTTTTATGGCCTTTTGCCTTGCTGACATGTATATTTCGTGACATTACAAGTAGAGTAACGTGGAGAACAACTACTTGTCTGTCAGGTTGTTGCACCATGGTGGCTTTTATGTTGCTGTGATGCTAGAACCTATGTCACCGATATTTTGAATGCCAGCAGGTTCACTCATGGTGGATAGGTTTCCTTTAAGCTTCCAGACTAAGACAGACTGGGAAGAGGGAGAGATGGACTACTTCCAAATTACTAGCCACTGAAAACCATATGAATAGCAGTGAAACATTGTCAGATGGCACCAGAATATTGAATATTGAAACATGATGACTAGCAAGAGAATAATTTTAGATATAATGCCAGAAGATGAGCACCTCAGGTTTGAAGGCACTCAAAATGCAACTGAGAAAGAGCGGCCTCCTCAAAGTGGGGATGACCATGGTGTTGTGAATGGAGTAAAGCTTCATTAGCTGATGGAAGAGTAATAAAATGAGGACAAACAACTTGCAAACATCCAATAATAATCAGAACATGGAATGTTGGTGGTGGTTGTGTGCCTTTGAGTTGGTTCTGACGCACAGCATCCCTATATAGGATTTTCAAAGATATAAATCTTTATGGGAGCAGAAAGCCTCATATTTTTCCTGAGTGGCTGATAAATTCAAATTGCTGACCTTGCAGCTAGCAGCCCAGTTCATAATCCACTACACTACTAGAGCTCCTTAACATGGAATGTATGAAGCATAAATATAAGTAATTTGAAAATGGTCAAAAATTAAATGGAACACATAAAGATCGATATCCTAGGCATTAGTGAACTGAAATGGACTGATACTGGCCATTTTGAATCTCACAGTCAAATTACATGGTTTACAATTAAATGGGAATGACAAATTGAAGAGGAATGGTGTCACATTCATCATCACAAAGAAGATTTCAAGATCGATCTTGAAGTATAAATGTTGTCTGTGATAGGATAATATCCATATGCCTACAAGGAAGACCAATTAATATCACTTCTATTCAAATTTATGAACCAACCATTAAAGTCAGTGATGATTAAATTGAAGAATTCTATCAACTTCTTCAGTCCAAAAAGACCTGGAGTTAGAAAACCAAAAGGGAAGAACATGCTCAGCATTTCTCAACCTATAAGAACTGAAGTGAAAAATTCAAGCCACAACTTGCAATACTTAAGAATTCTATGGGCAGAATATTGAGTGACATAGAGAAGGCATCAAATGAAGATGGAAGGAATACACAGAGTCACTGTACCAAAAAGAAATGGTCAATGTTCAACTATTTCAAGAGGTAGTATATGATCAAGAGCCAGTGGTAATAAAGGAAGATGTCCAATATGTATTGAAGGCATTGGCAAAGAACAAGGTGCTGGGAATTGTTGGACTACAAATCAAAATCTTTGAACAAACTGATGCAGCACTGGAGGTGCTTCACTGCTCTATACCAAGAAATTTGGAAGACGGCTACCTAGTCAGCTGATTAGAAGAGATCCACATTGTGCCCATTTCAAAGAAAAATTACCCAGTGGAATGAAGAAATAATCAAACAGTATCGTTAATATCACATGCAAGTAAAATTTTGTGAAAAATCATGTAAAAACAGCTGCAACTGTATATTGACAGGGAACTGCCAGAGGTTCAGACCAGATTGAGACAGGATGTAGGATGTAGATATCTTTGCTAGTGTCACATGGATCTTGGCTAAAAGCAGAGAATACCAAAAAGATATGTACCTGTGCTTTATTGACTATACTAAGACTTTCGACTGTGTGGATCATGACAAGCTATGGACCACTTTGTGGAAAATGAGTTTTCTGAAATACTTACTTATGCTCAAGAAGAATTTGTTTGACCAGAACAAGAGACACTGAATGGTTTAAAATAGGAGAGGTGTGCGCCAAGGTTGTATTCGTTCACTATACTTATTTAGTCTCTATGCTGGGAAAATAATCTGAGAAACTGGATTTTATGAAGAAGAACATGGCATCATGTTTGGAGGAAGACTCAATAACAACTTGTAATATGCTGATGATATAACATTGTATGCTGAAAATGAAGATGACTTAAAATACTTTTACTGATGAAGATCAAAGACTACTGCCTTCAGTATGGGTTGTACCTCAGTGTAAAGGAAACAAAAATCTTCACTACTGGACCAATAAATAATATCAAGATAAATGTAGTAAAGATTGAAATTGTCAAAGAATTCATTTTGCTTGGATCTACCATCAGCACTCATAGAAGCAGCAGTCAAGAAATTAAATGATGTAGGCAAATCTCCTAACATATGAGCTCTTTAAAGTGTTCAAAAGCAAAGATGTCAGTTTGAGGACTAAAGTGCCGTCAAATTGATTCTGACTCGTAGTGACCCTGTATAGGGTTTCTGAGGAGTGCCTGGTGAATTTGAACCACCAACCTTCCAGTTCAAACCAGCCTTGTGGTTGAGTGCTTATCTACAGTGTCTGACATTAGCTATTTTCAGTAGCCTCAGATGCATGTGAAAGTTGGACAGTGAATAAGGAAGACAGTAGAAGACTTGATGCATATGAGTTATGTTGATAGAGAACAATTTTAAAGGTGCTATGGACTTCCAGAAGAAAAAACAAATCTATGTTCGAAGAAGTATAACCAAAATGCTCCTTAGAAGCCAAGATGACCAGACTTCGTCTCTCATACTTGTGACATATTATCATTAGCCACCAGTCCCAGGAGAAGGACATCATGCTAGGTAAAGTGAAGGATCAGCGAAAAAGAGGGAGAACTCCATTGAGATGGATTGGCACTGTGGCAAGAGTAGCAGAAATTGTGAGGATGTGCAGGAGTGGGCAATGTATCATTCTGTTGTCCATACGCTTGCTATGGTTTGGAACCGACTGTGGCACCTAACAACAAATGTGGAGAATTTAATACCAACAGTTATTGAGTACGTACTAAGTATCTATCTGGAGTCCTGATGTGGCGCTGTGGGCTAATGCATTAGACTGCAAAGTCATTTGAACTGCAAGGTTGGTGGTTCAAGCTCACCAACTGCTCTTTGGAAACCCTACACAGGGTCTCTGTGTGTCGGAATCAACTTGACGGCTCTTAACAACAACAACAACAACTATGTATCTGCCACTCTTCTAGATTTTTGTCAAATGTTACATCATTTAATTCATTTACAACTGAGAAAACTAAAGCTCAGAAAGATTAAATTGCTTTTTCACTGACACTTCATTTAGACTATCATCTGGATTACTACAAACAAATCCTATCCTTTAAACTTTCTCTATTCTGTACATTAGCCTCATGGAACCGGAGTAATTTCTTAAAATCATACCTAGTTTGGTTATTCCCATTAGAAACCTTCGTAATCCTTCAGAAGATTCAAGGTAGATTCTAAAGCACTTAGAATTGCATTGTTGTTAAATGTAGTCTAAAGTGACCCTGTGTAGAAAATATCCAAGGAATAACTGGTGAATTTGAACTGCTGACCTTGTGGGTTACCAGTGCTTATCCTATAGCACCACACAAGGACTCCTTAGCATAATATTGTTGTTAAGTGCCATCAAGTCGGTTCTGATTTACAGTGACCCTGTATAGGGTTTCTAAGGAGCAGCTGGTGGGTTTGAACCACTGACCTTGCAGTTCAAACCAACCTTGTGGTCTAGTGCTTATCCTACAGCGCCACACCAGGACTCATAGCATAGTATAGTGTCTATTTATTATTGAGCCTTTGATTTCTCTTCAACTCTTGGAATTTCCTCATTCTCATAATGCTCCACTAATTCTAAGTACTTACAGTTCTCTAAAAGAACCATGCTCTTTGACTTCTCTGCCATTATCATTACATGTAGTTTATCTTCTTTCTAGGTCCTCCCATGTCCATTTCATTTAGTTTACTATTACTTGCTCTTCAAGATTCAGCTCTTAACCTCTTGTCTGCTTTAGATATCTTTTCTATGTTCTGTGTTGTTAATGGCCCTCAAGTCAGTTCTGATTCATAAAGACCTTATATTGTCCCATTTTACATTCACCACCGAAGTATGAGGACTCTAAATTCTCCACATCCTTGATAGCACTTGTTATTGTCTGTCTTTTACATAGTCATTTTAATGGGAACTTTGTCTTACCTGTATCTCTTATAAATGAAGCGGTATAAGAAGTCATCCATTACTGCTTCTTGACTGAATAATTGGGAGAATTGGGGTTTGATCTATGTCCTCTGACTTCAAAATCCATGCTGTCTGCATCATATCTTTTACCTGATAGATTTATCAGAAGCCTTTTTTGTTGTTGTTGGTTCCAGTTTAAATTTTTTAAAGCTTTTATTGTGCATTGAGTGATAGTTTACGTGAAAGAACATCAGTTTTGTACTGATCCTATCATATTTTGTATCATTGTAATGATTACAATCCCCTCTATGCATCACCATTCAACAGTATTTGCTTCTCTTCCCTCTGTTGTGTTGTTGTTTTTTTATGTATACAAAAACACTTGGGAATATATAATCATTTAAACAACCAAAGGGCACATTCTTCAAGTCTGCCTCCTGGCCGCCAGGACACAAGCTTTCTCTTTTCACGAGTTTAGAATCCTCAGCTGCTCCCTTTCTCCTTGTAATCTTCTCTGCCTCCATCTCTGGTGTCTCTGCATCTCTGGATAGGGTCCCACATTCCGCTTATGCCCTTCTCCCTTGATAGTCCTAGGGTCCTCTGTTCCTGGAATATAAGATTAACTACTCCCCCCTTTATGTTACAAAACTTCTACCTTTACTGTTGTAACAATCACAATTAGTCATGATAACAATTACTCACTATTGAATCCAGAAGACTTACTCTTTCAAAAACATTTATTAACCCAAACAAACATACCAACACTTGTTAGGGAGGTGGCAAGAAAAATAGAGTCAGGGAATTTAAGAAAAGAAAACTTTACTTTCATTTAATATTTAATTTTGACACAATTCAGGCTTGTAGAAAGCTGTGGAGTCCTATTGTAGCCCTGCAGGATGAACCACAAGGTCAGCACTTCAAACCCACCAGCTGCTTCTTGGAAACTCGATACAGGGACACTCTGAATTGGAACAGACTCAAAAGCACTTAACAATAACAATAACATATAAAATTACAAAAATAAAAGATTCCCAAATATCTTTCACCCAGATTATCCTAATGTTAACATTTTACTATATTTATTTAGCAAATATAATTTTTTTATGAGATGGAGAGTAACAGTTTAATATAGGAGAAATAAATTATTTACTGGATTTGGCAATTAGAAGTAGTGATAGAGTTTAAAAAGAATAGTATAGTAGTTAAGATAGAAACACTGTGATTAATTGTAAAATTAATGAAAAGTCAGGAAGTGGTCTTTTTCCTCAAAACTTGATTTTTAAAGAAATTTCCTTATTTGTTGTAGTTTTTGTTAAGAATATACACAGCAGATCTTACACCATTTCTACAATTTCTTTATGTACAATGCAGTGACGTCGTGCAATAATCTCTTTTTTCTGTTTGTTCCTCTCCATTAGCATAAATTCACTGTCCCCTAAGCTTAATAACTAATCTTTTAAATAGCTGTTGTCAGTGTGATCCCATATAGCTAGTTCATAACTCTTCATGACCCATGGGGTGTAGCGTGCCCACCTACATTTTCTGCCTCTAATTGAGAAGCTGCTATTCCTTGTGTGGCACTTTGGGTTAATGTGCTGGATTGCAAGGTCAATTGTTCAACTCACTAGCTGCTCCTCAGAAACTCTATACAGGGTTGCTGTGGGTTAGGACCTACTGGACAGCACTTAACAACAGCAGTCCCACTTTTAGTGCATTCTGCCATCTGGTGGTGGTTCCTATAACTGTGTGAACCTAAAGAAACAGACCTCATCCCACCTACCCTAGCACTAGAGACCCCTCAGGATATGTGTACCACCAATTGTTTCAAAATCCACATTATTGCAAAAAATAATTTTTCCTGTTTCATTCAAAATGTCTTATATTGCTGTAGGCAGACTTTCTTTACTAGTTAAGTTAAAACTATCGTTTGATTTTAAGAAGACTTCGTGGGATATTTTTAGTTTAAGGTATAAAGATTACCTCAGGACAGTAGATTCAGGGTTGAGTGTAAGTGAATAGAAAATGAGAGTGACAGCTCTAGAAGTGTGGTTGCTCACTCTGTGACTGTTCATTTAAAAACCTTATCTTTTCAGCAAGTTGGTCAGATTTATGTCTTCTTAGCTTTTTATGTTTTATCTTTCTTCATAGCTTGATTATAAGGCACATTTCCTTGGCCAAAGAAGTTTGAAGTTGTGATCTGTAGTTTGTTTTTTGTTTGCTTGTCTGTTTGCATAATATTGTATCATTTTTTGTTTGCTTGTTTGAATTCATAATTTCGTAATGAGCAGGAGTAGTAGTGGTAGCAGCCGTCAAGAAAGTCCTATAGTCCCATCTTCTAAGGATAATGAGAAGAAACTTCTTCATGATGAAAAGATGGAGAGTTCTATTGATGAACATGTTCAGACTGCTGCAGATGATTCTCTACGAAGTGATAGCATTCCATCTCTTCCCGATGAGAAAGGTAGCTTTTTAATTAACTTCTTTGAGCAATATAAAATTAAATTATTTCAAACTTCTATTTCCAGCCACAGTAGAGGAACCGGACGAGATTTGCCCTTACTTAAAAGAATTAAAAAATCATATATGAATGAACTATTTTCAAGACATTAGCTTTCAGGTAGTGAAAAATACTGATTCCTGAGAGACACAAAAAAAGTAAGATCAGCACTCCAAGTAAGCCCCAGCTTGCTCCCTGAAGAGAGTCTCCAGACCACAAACCAGGGAAGAATGCCAGAGAGAATTCTGGATATCTGGAGAGTATCTCTTTACATCATTCATCTGAGCACTGATCAGTGTATGCAATTGGAAACTACCCATACCAGGAAAAGAATCACCCAAAAAGATTACAGGAAACAGTTCTCAGATCTCACACAGAATTGGGAATAGTTTAATTTCCCAACAGCCAGAGTGGAAGAATTTCATAATTCATAGGTGGAAACTCAAAAGGGTTTTAGTCTCAGTAGTGGAGCGGAGTCAGTCCTAGACTACATGGTGTTCTTACTTGCCTAACAAAGCTTAAAAGCAAGACTCAGAAGGATCAGATTACTTTCAAGTAGCTTAACCATGTTACATAACAAGCTTTAAGAATATTTGAAATGTAGAAATCATCTAGCAGGATAAAGTTCGCGGTGTTTAGTAACCAATGAAAACTTAACCAAGCATGCAAAGAAGCAGGAAATTGAGACTCATAGTGAGGAGAATCGGATTCAGAAACTAAATAGATTGTAGTGTTTAGTAGAAAAGAATATTAAAAAACACTTTTTTGTAATAATATTCTGTCTGTTTCTGAAGATAGAAGAAAGAGTGAATGTGTAAAGTAGAAACATAGAAAATGTAAATAAGATCCAAACTGAATATCTAGAGATAAATACTATATGAAATTGAGGAGGAAAAAAAACAACATGATAAAATTATTGGCAGATTAAACATGACAGAGGAATTAGTGAATTTGAAGACATAGCAATAGAAAGTATCCTCAACAAAACTTAGTGGAAAAATAAATTTGGAGAAAAAAATGGTCTAGCACATAACGTGTGTTTGAGACAACTTAAGGTAACCAAACAAACATGCTTAGGAGTGTTCTGAGGAAAGGGAAAAGAAAAGGGGCAAAAAAAGATTTGAAGAAATCATGCTCTGCTCTAACCGTCTTCTATGGGTAGGTCCATGGATAGATACACAGGCTGAAAGGGTACAGGAAGAAGAGTGGGAGTCTACCCCAAAATATATAGGTGTTTGACAGTAGATATTTGTACGTGGGTATTTACCCTTGCTGCAAACACACCTATGAATGTGGTGGAGCCTACAGGGGATGAGATGAAAACTTCTTAGACATTATAGAACATCTTGAAGCAATGAGTTGGTGGGCATGGTGGCTCAAGGGTGACCATAGTCTCAGGGAACACCCTGGTCAATTGGCATAACATGGTCCTTAAAGACAATGCTCTACATCCTATTTTGGTGAGTACTGACTAGCATCTTAAAAGCTCATGAGCAGCCAGCCATCTAAGATGCAACTACTGTTCTCTCCATGTGCGGAGGAAAGAAGAGTGATGAAAATTGAAAATGGATGGAGTCAATTACTCCAGTGAACTAATAGAACATGTGAACTTTTCTCTATGATTCTTAGACCAGAAGAACTAGATGTTACCTGGCTACCACTACTTACTGTACCGAAAGGGATTACCTTAGAAGGTTCCTGGATAGAGTGGGAGATACTGTGAAACAAAACTCAAAATTAATTACAAAAAAAGGCTAGTCTTGCTGGTCAAAAGGAGACTAGAGGAACCTGACTATGGCCCTTGGCCATCCTTCAGGTCTGGAGCAGAACTCACTCTCATGGCCCAATTTTCAGCTAAGCAGTAGGTAGATAGTTGTATATATATATAGGGGAGACAACAACGCTAGTAAGGTATGTTCACCATAGAATGGTCAACCATTCAAGATCAAAAGGTCAATATTTACCTAAGGACAAAGTATAGAAGGTTTGGGAAGGAGGATGAAATGGAAAAAAGATTCACAGGGAGGAAATAAGGTAACTTTTGTTACATGGAGGGGATTGCAGTCATTGAGATGAGACAAAATGTATGATTTGTTGAATGTAAAACTGATAATCATCTCAGTAAACATTCACTCAGTTCACAATAAAAATTTCAAAAAGTGATAATAATGGTCAAGAATTGTTCAGATTTGACAGTGACACCTATGGACACCCAACAAATCCCAAGTGCAAAATACACACGCAAATTTTACATATATAAATATATATGTTGTTGTTGGGTCGAGTCGATTCCAACCCTTAGTGACCTTATATAGGGTTTCCAAGGAGCAGCTGGTCATCTTGAACCACTGACCTTGCAGTTCAAATGACTTTGTAGTCTAATGCATTAGCCTACAGCACCACACCAGGATATAGATATATTTAATAACCTTATTGTTGTTAAATGCCATTGAGTTGGTTTCTACTTATAGCAACCCTGTATAGGGTTTCCGAAGCTGTAAATCTTTGCAGGAGGAGAAAATCTTATCTTTTTGTGGTAGAGCAGTTGATGGTCTCAAACCACCAACCTTGTGATTCACAGTCCAGTACTTACCCTACAGAGCCATCCTACTTCTTAAAATGATGTGTTGTTATTGTTGTTAAGTGCTGGTGAGTCACTTCCAACTCATAGTGACCCAGTCTAGGATTTCTGAGGAGCAGCAGGTGGGTTTGAACTGCAGATCTTGTGGTTGAAAACAACCTTGCGGTCTAGTGCATTATCCTGCAGTGTCACACCAAGACTGCTAAAATGACATTGTTAAGTGCTGTTGAGTCAGTTCCGACCCATAGCAACCCCATTTATCAAGAAGCATCTGATAAACTTGAACCTCCTACCTTGCTGTTCAAACCAACATTGAAGTCCAGCATTAATCCACAGCACCATACCAGGAAGCCAAAATGACATAAGCATATCAAAAAAATTGCTGAAAACCAGTGATAAAGAGAAAATCTTCAAAAAGCAGCACAGGAAAACTCACATTGTATATAGAGGAGCTAAGATAAAAATGACAATGTATTTCTTATCAGAAATAATTCAAACCAGAAGGATTAATCTTGAAAGTACTGGGGAAAGATAAATCAAGCTATAATTCTAGCATATATCTCTCAAAAATTAAAATGAACAAAAAAATTTTCAAAAAAATTTATTTAAGCTCTAAGGTGTCTCAGGAAACCTACATTATATGAAATATAAAGTCCTTCAGGCAAAAGCATGATACCACATGAAAATTTGGATATACACAAAATAAAATTTTTTAAAAGTTCTGGAAATGTTAATTAACTACATGAGTAAATATAAAATACTTTTATTTAAACTGAGAAAACAAAACGAAACAGAAGAAGAATATCTGAACATTCCTATTACACAATCTCAAGACTTAGTATGTTGTTAAGTGCCATCGAGTTGATTCTATCTCATAGTGACCCTAAGAAGTGGCTTGTGGGTTTGAACCAACAGCCGTATGGTTAGCTGCTGTCCAGTGCTTAAACTACAATGCCATACAAGGACTCTACATACCATAGAGCTAAATTAATGAAGACATTGATTTTGGTGAAAGGATAAACATAGGCAAGGGAACAAAACAGCCCAAGAACAGATCAACAGTATTTTATGACAAAGGAACAAAGTTAATTTAATGGGAAAAAGTCTCTACTTTTCACTGATGGTGCTGGAATAATTGAATGTCTCTGCAAAAACATACAGCTAGATAAATACCTCACACCTTTTATAAAAATTAAGTTAAAATGTAAATCTACACAAGTTATAAAACGAAAATATTGGGAGAATATCTTAATGACCTTGGGTTTTGGATACATTAAAATCATGATCCATGAAAAGAAGAAATTTGATAAATTGTACTTTATCAAAACGAAAAAATCTTCTACTAAAGAATATTTTTGATTTTTGGTGGTTTCTAAGATAAGTGAATTTTAATTTTTTTTTTAAAAGCTGCCTGTTCATTGCTATGAATTTATGTGGCATTGTTCCATATTGTTAAATGCTGTCAAGTCAGTTCTGAACCATAGTGACCCTGTATAGGGTTTCTGAGATGCATTGGTGAGTTTGAACTGCCAACCTTGTGGTTCAAACCAACTTTGCAGTCCAGCGTGTTAACCCACAACAATAATCATATATTCTACTATTTCCATATTCTTTTAGATTCAACTTCCATTGCAACAGAGTATTCCCTGAAATTTGATGAATCCATGACAGAAGATGAAATAGAAGAAAAGTCATTTCGATCTTTACTACCTTCTGAGAGTCATCGCAGATTTAACATGGAAAAGAAAAGAGGCCATCATGATGACTCTGATGAAGAAGCTTCTCCAGAAAAGACCACACTGTCCTCTGTCAAGGTGTGTTTACTTTATCTGTGGAAGTACTTCATAAGTGTTTTTGAGTATGTTCACTTAAAAGTATGAGGATATATATGAGGGAGCTTCAAGAAATTCATGGAAAAATGGAATTTTCTCCTGAAGTTTTTGAAGCTCCCTTGCATTTCACTTGAACTAAATTGTCAGTTATCAAAATAATTTTCTTAAAAAGTATTTTATGTAATATGATGGGAATTCAGAAAGTTTGTGGAAAACTTCCATTGTCTCTTAATTCTAGTTTCTACAAACTTTTGAAGCCCCTTTGTATATACTTTTTTCCCATTTTTAAATGTACATTTGTAATTGTTATACAAATAAATTGCAACTTTTGGATAACAGGGACAAATTCTTACCCAACTTTGCATCCCTGGTATAGTGCTTGGTCTACAAAGGTTGTTTATCAAAATTTTATTGGCTAAAAAATTAGTGAGTGAGTGATACTTTCTCTCATGTGACTTTTACTGAAAAAGATTCTCATATGATTGGCAGCCTTGTTAAATAGTTAATTTATTTTATAAATATGAACCTCTTTTAACTTTATTGAATAAAATTAGCTAAGTTCTAAAATTATCTAGAAGGTAATAAACTTGAAAGAAATTCACAATTTTAGGAGCTGAGCATGCCATTCTCAGGAGGACAGGATAGTTTCTCTAAATTTACTATGGAGATGGTTCGACAGTATATGAAAGAAGAGGAAATGCGTGCAGCTCATCAGTCTTCACTCCTGCGTCTTAGAGAAAAGGCCTTAAAAGAGAAAACTAAGGCCGAGTTAGCTTGGCTAGAGCATCAAAAAAAGTAAGTTGTTTCAGTGAATATAGTTTTCACTGTTCAAATTCTTATTTCATAAAAAGTAAATATCTGTTTTCAGATTTTTTTTCTCATTTAGTTTGATCTTATTAATTCAGTTTCTCAAGTGAGAAATATGGCAGTCATCCCAGATTTATGTTGCTTTTCAGATTTCCTACCTACATAACATTTTCTTTGCATTTTTCTTGTATTAGTTAACTCACTCTTGTCATTTTAGACAATTAATTGTTTAATTAAAAATTACTCAAAGTCCTTTAAAGAACACAGCATAAGACTTGCAGATATTATGTACTCAGTGAAATATTTGTGGGAATATTAATTGTTGCCTACAGTAGGTCTTCACATATAGATATGTGATATTGACTAAGATTTTTTGATGGTCAAAAATCATTGACATTTTACTAATAATTTAATCTTCATTGAAATGGAAATTATTACTTGCAGACATCTAAGAGACAAAGGAGAAGATGATAAAATGCCCCCACTCCGTAAGAAACAGCGTGGTTTGCTCTTAAGGCTGCAGCAAGAAAAGGTATGTGAGAAGAAAAGCCTCTTGAAGAAAACTTATCCATAAGAAAAGTTAGATTGTGGAATCCATTATTTAGCTTAATCTTCTCTTTTTTCCATTATTGCCTTATGAGATTTAGTTGATTGTTAGCACTATTTATGAATGTAGGGTTTACCTAGTAGTCTCTTGTGGTGGTATAGTAGTGGTGTGTCGTAGAATCAATTCTGACTCATAGTAACCTTGTACAGGGTTTCTGAGGCTGTAAATCTTTACAGGCACAGATAAAGCTTCTTCTTTCTCCTGAAGAGCGCCTGGTACACTCCAACAACTGACCTTGCAGTTAGTAGGGCTAACCTACTATGTTACCAGGGTTCCTTAGTAGTCTGTAGTATTTATCCCAAATTATATGTCACTGCTGATTTAATACCCTGACAGGGATAATCACTATCCTGACATTTAAGATCATAGTTTATTATACTTGGTATAGATATTTTTTTGATGGAAGATAAAGACAACTAAATTTCTTCAGTGAGAGAATAGATAAACTAAATGTATGGCAGAATACTTGTTCAAGAAAAATACTGCATGAAATCAGTGCACTCCCAAGAGAGGTTTCTGCCATGGTAATTTTCTATATTGGTGCTGCCTAATGCAGTAGCGGTCCTT